GGGGGGCGGGAGGAGCAGGCCAGGCCCAGGGGCGCCGCAGGCTGGACTGAGGTCAGAGAGAGCAGGACCGACCGGAAAGGCCACCCAGGTGGAGGGGATCGGGTGACCGCCCATGGGTGACGGGCCGCGGAGCAGGGCCAGGGGTGACCGCGGTGCCGACCTCCCCGGAGCAACAGCGCGCTCGGTGGGCGCGGGGACCACGGCCCCGGCCCGGGTCCCGCACACCTGTACCCGGGGAAAGCCTTACGGTCGATGCAGGAGACCAAGCTCCGGCGGCCGCTCTCGGCGGGGGTCCGCAGACCGCCGCCTGGGCGGCAGAGCCGCGCTCCGAGTCTCAGGCAGCGGCTCCGCCACATAGCCCGGCTCCCAGCGCCACCGGCGGAAAGCTCCCGCCCAATCCGGCGGCGGCGACCCCATCCCCAGCACCCGCCCTGCCCCTCCTGCTGGGAGCCGTGGTGCACTCTGGCACCTGTAGTGTACTTTGGGCGCCTAGGATCGGGGCTCAGGCGGGTCGGCACCGGGAGCAGGAACTACAACTCCCAGAGATCCCCGGGGCCGGGGGGCCGGGGGCCGGAGGGCTGCGTGTGGAAAGCGCCTCCGGGAGGGGGACTGGGACCGCGCCTGCGGAGTAGCCGCTCAGGTTCCTGAGCTGTGAGCGAGTGAGCCGGGGTCCAGTGAAAATCCGAGGAGAGTTTAGGGGCAGGTTGACGCGAGATGGGAAATGGGTGTAGATAATTGAAGAAAGGATGTGAGGGGTTGAAACCGAGTTGTCTGTTCTTCGCGAAAGAGCCTCGGGGCCGAAGCCGTCTAAGTTCCCTTTGGTTGTCTCCATCTTGCTCTGCGCACGTTTCTGGGGGCATAGAGTTGCCTCTTGTGTCTCCCGCAGGTTCCGGAATCTTCAGCTCCAGCCCCAGCAGGGAGACCATGCCGAGACCCAGGAAGAGGCTGGCCGGGGCTGCTGGGCACGGTGAGCTTGCGCCCGGGCTGCAGAAAGGCAGCCTCCCGAGAGCGCTTCCCAAGGGTGTTCGGCGCTGTTCGCTCTCCACTCCCTGCTGCTGGACAGACTCCTTTGTGGATTGTGCTTTATCCGTGTTGCCCCCCGCCTCTACCCTCTACCAAGCCTAGACCCAGAGCCCCTTCTGCTGTCTTGTTCATTCAGAGTAGCTGTTTGGTAAGCACGAGAAACACTTGTGATAGGGGTGGCGTGCAGTAAGGTTAAGAACAGCTCCAGCCCGGCCAGTGTGGCTCAGTTGGTTGGAGCGTCGCCGAGAGGTCGCGGGTCGGAGATCCGAATGCGGTCAGGGCA